TGGGTGACGGTGGCAAAGCAGCTGGCGCCGAAAGGGTCAGGCGAGTAGAGTCAGGATCTGGGGGGTCGCTTCCTTTCCCATTCCCGCCCGTGCCTGCCTACGCTGTTATCCACACGCGCGCATTTCTTTGTCACGTGCGCTCGCCCGCTCTCCTCTCCTTCTCTGACCGCGTCTTAAACAGCTCCTCTTCAAACTCCCCCAACAAGCATGTACCTCGTCGTTGTCTTTGTGACGAGGTTCAACGCCCATTCAGGTTTGGGCGAAAGCCCGTTGAGGCTCGTTCTTTATTTCACTTTGCAAGGGAACACAACTTTAGTCGGAGCCATCAAATATCCATGCAAGTTATATTTTTGTTGTTGTTCTTCTTCTTCTTCTAATTTAACCACTGTGAAGATGCCTTGCCCCGTGTCGTTAATGTGCGTGAGCGATTCTCATGGATGTGACTTGACCTCTGTATATACACCTTGCTGAAGTTGTATGCAACTGAACGGGCACAATTCCTACAGCCACTCACCTTCGTGCAGGGCGGTATCAAAAAATTCCTCGCTTTTGCTATGGACTGCCCGTGGAGAAGTATTCCTTTCACGAGAAGCATCTCTTGATAGTGTCAAATTTGCTCGTGGGAAAAGGAAATTTATTCACGTAAATCAATTGAAATTACCTTATCGCAGCTCACCCCCCCCCCCGTCATTTGGAACGCCATCCCCCGATTCACATCCGTAACGATCAATAATTTCCTTCGTTAAAAAAAATATCTAAAGGCGCGTTTCTTCAGCTCGACATTTAACCACCGAGTCTTCCTGACACTGAGCTGGGCTCCGCTCCTTACAATTTCTTCTTCGGGCCGCAACATTGCGCGTATTATAAATTATATTATTATTAATACAGACCCTTTCTTCCGAGTACACTAATCTCCATCCTCAAAAGAATCCGTTAATGTTTATTTTAGTACACTTTTTTACCGAAACCGCCTCCGGTGATCTCCCAATCATCACCGACGGCTCGTGTTGTTGCTCTGGAGAGCGGGCGATCGACGATCGACGTTCAGGTCGCCGCGTTGATGTCACTCGTCGTTATTTCTCACTTAACAGAGTGGGGGCCGCGTGAAGGCTGCCATACTCCGCTCCAGTGTGCGACCGTGGCTCATGCGGGACAGAGACCGTACAACGTATAACGACGCAATGACCCCGATCCACAAGTACGCAGGAGAAATCACAGCGACGATGATACCACTCCGCTACCCCTGACGCGGTTGTCTGGCTTGGCCCACCTGCATGTGAGACTGTAGCCGTTGCTCTACCATCGACACCAACAGCCGTACGACAACAAGAAGAATAAGAAAAATCTCCGACGGCCTGGCAACTCGCCCTGGTCATCGCCAATTTCGGAAATTTCGCCAGGAAGTGAAAATCTGTCTCGGAGGGAGGCGATGGGGTGTGTGGGGGCTGAATTCGTTCGGTGCTTTAAAAAAAGACCGACGAGCCGTGAGCGCGCTGCCCCCCCCCCCCCCCCGCTCTCTCCTCTAATCCGCTCGGCTCCAGGCGCGCGCGAGAGAAGATGGAACGGAGGACGAGCGCGCCGTGCCAATGTGCAAGACATCCGAGGTTTAGAGCAGACAGGGCATCCCCCCTCCACCCTCGCTCCCCCCCCGCCCCACAAAAAAGATATGCCCCGACCAATCCCACCTAAGCATCACTCTACCCGGGGGCTCTCTCTTTTCAACACCTTGACGCACTCTTCCCGTTGACCCCGCGAGGAGAGGTGTCACTCAAACGTTTGAAGTGCCAGGGATTAGTTTTAAGAGGAGGGTGGCGGCGGTGGTAGGTGGGAGGCGTCGGGAGTAGAGCGGGAGTGGAGGTGGCAGAGGTGAAGAGGAGATGGCTGACAATGCGCGTGGAGACGGGAGTGCTTTCCTTTACGGCACCTGCAGGCTCACCGAGTCCTAATCGTGGCGTTGACAGCTTTGGGCAATCTCTGCTCTTCATCGGGCGCAATTTGGCCTCAATGTATATCCCCTGTAGTATATAAATTGACTGTAATTCCCGGCGTTGGCTAGCATCGGTTGCGAGCGATATCGGAACGGGTCGTGCCTTCCACCCTCTTAGCTGACCAGTGTGGTGAAGTATGCTAAACAAAACCAAAGAACACCCCACGACTGACAAAGTCGTGGCGTGGCCCTCATTCATCATTGGTAAAACGAGAACGGATGGATGTAAATTTAACGTGTTCTTATTATACATGGCACCTGTGCCGTAATGCCAGCAGCAGCGCTGCGAACACTGACACCGAATACTTGCGTGAACAAAGGGGGAGAAAGGAGCTCGGGCAAAGCGCAAGAGATTGGACGATGAGAACGTAACTCACATCCTCATTCTCCTCCTCTCTCAACCAAGGGCCAGGGTCGGCAGTGGCAGCAGTCGTCTCTCCGTGGCAGCCTCCTGGTCATGTGGAACGCGCCCATCGTTATCCCATTGCACATTCACAGCAGCATGCAATCTTCACAGACTTTTAAGATACACTTAGAGGCGCGACGTATTTCCGAAAGGTCCCTGGTACCTCTCTCGGTCATTTATGGCCGTGAAATATTGTGTGCCCTCCAAATTACATGGTTATTATTCGGGGCTGGGGTATGGGGTCGTGAGAGGGCGAGTACTGCAGTGGCTGGTACCCTACCAAAACTGTCCACCCCTCTTTCCCCCTGTCGTAACATACGGACAGTTCTTTGTGTTGTTGTTACCAGATTTAAAGTTTTTTTCACACGTTTAAAAGCACAAGTACGCTCATTTTCCGTGTGGGCATATCTCAACATCATCAATTCCTTTCCACGGACGTTGAATCTAATTACAACACAAACAACAGCGCTTCCGTCTTCACGAAGCGCTCAACCAGAATGGACGAGATGAATTGAGGAATTTTTGAAAGCAGGTTTTTTTTTGTATTTTTTTGTACCTTGGGCAAAAAATTCGCTAAATATGTGAAGTAAACGTGGTCTATTTATTTATTTATTTCAAAAACCAAATGTCCACACGACGTAAGCGGGGTTTAATATATCACTCAATATTTTCAGTGCCCTCTGGCAGACTGGAGTGGGCACGTGACTCGCAGCATCAGCCATTGTAGCATTTTAATCTGAGTTTAATCGCAATAGTTACGACAATGCAGTGTCTTGTGCTTGCTTCTAAGTTCATATATCAACCAATGGTAAAATTGGAGTGCAGGCATGTTCATAAATCATTGGATTCCCATGACATCTTAAGCAGAGTTAATTGGCCATCCATACAATTAACCATTCAAGCTGTTGGTTTATTGCTTATGCACTTGTAGTTAACCCTTGCATTTCCTTCTGACCTTAAAACTGCTCATCTTGACACAGCCAGTGGAATATTTATTCTACAACTCAATTATATCACAGTTATGTGAAATAATTAATTTAACAGACGTATTACACTCACACTTATCCTCACAGTGTCATTAGAATCATGGGCTGTTTATATATTTTGAGAAGGATCTCTGTTCGATTCGGTGCGCCCTAATTTTGTTTTATCATGAATCCGTGATCCCTCGAGTTTCTTGAAGCCCCGAGACTTCTTGGTTTGCTTATATCTAGAGTCGTCCATTGGCTCTGGAAATACTCAAGAATGATCTTCAACAGATGTACCTTGAACTTCTTTCGCACCGTGTGTAGCCGACCGTGCTGATCGAGGGAGGCACGTGGGAAGGACAACAAACTAAACACAAAAATCAGTCCTAAAGAACCGAGTTTTCAATCGAGGTGTTAAAGATGTCTCCTATGGCAGTGACGCGGCCCATGAAGCTGCTCTTTCTTATCATCGTCGCCGTCGTCGTGATGATGTTGCTGCTGTAGAACCCCGGTGTGCCTTGACTGGTGGTCGCGTTTGGCCATCCGCGCGCGAGAGCCCCACGCCTCCCCGTCTGGAAACGGAGCCCCCCCACGCATTATGCACCCACGCGCCTCCGCATTACTCAGACCCCGCCGCCCCCATGAATGGGGCTCTCACAATTCCCATCACCTCTTTTTCAAAGTGGAAGATTGGCTCATTTGTTTCTTTAAAGAAAACAGTAACGTAAGTAGGAAACTGAGCCGTGGTGCATGCGATTCTTGATAAAAGGGGGAAAGTCCTGGGATACTTTTTTTTATTCATGTTGGGTGTTTAATTCATTATTTGTGTGCAGTTTATATATAAATGAGGACAAGGGGAACTGCCAATCTCACTGGGTTGAGCTGCTCACTCATCCCGGTGCCAACTGCCCTTAAAGCAACCCGAGCCTTCCGGTGGAATGGCGGTGGCACGGTTTCAGTGACCCCCTTCAAAATCCCACAAAGAAATGGAGTGGAAAAAAAAAGAAACTATAAAGCACAAAACGGGAAATACCGAGAAGGTAACCGCAAAAAAAATTATGTCACGCTCCACGGGCCTGACACATTACCACTTACGCCTCGTGTCGTAACCGCTGTGTGCGATGGATCCCATGCCCGCCACCACGCTTGGGTTGTGTCGCGTTTCTTCTTCTTAAAAAAAAGACACCTGGGCGACTAGGGGATGGACTGGAGTTGTTGCCTCGGGCTTGGGTGTCGCCGCCTCGGTACGGTCGGAGCGAATGTCCCCCACGGTCACAATGGGGACGCAAGCCAAGGGAGAGATATTCCCGTGACACGCTGAATGGAAACACAATGCCTCCACTATGGTGTCATTTTGTGTGTGTGTGTGCGTGGTTTTTTTTTTCACGTGCAGGTGTATCAGAGCTAACTGTCGCGCATCAAGCAAGCGGTTTAGCGGTTGTGCCAACAAAAGGCCCCTATTAGAGGCTAGAACACCTCCCCACACCTCCCCACACCTACCCACAGCCCATCGCCCCACAGACCAACTCCTCGCAACCCACTTCCCTGGCGTAATGTGCTCACAGCTAAGCCACCGCTCCACACAAAACACGCACGCATCCATACGCAGGCAAAACATGCAATGGTTTAGAGCACACGGTTTTCTTTTGTAAATTTATAACAGCCGTATAATGATGATGATAAAAAAAGCGTAACAAACACAGAAAAACGTTTAAAAGATACAGTATTGTTACGGATAACATTCAGATATATAGTACGCAGTATTAACAATAAATGCGCAAGTTGTTTTCGGGTTTAACACACACACACACAAAAAAAACGTAGTCAAACAAAAGACAGTTTATTAAAAACACATTTCATAGAAGGGTCCTGCTTTTTTTGGTGTGTTTTTTTTTCCTTCTGCTTTTTGTTTTGTCCGCAGTCGAGGCCGACTGTGCCTTCGAGGCACAAGCGCGCGCGGGAAGGTGTCAAACTGGTCCCACCGTCGCTGCGAGGTTTCCTCTGACACCACCAACAACCACAACCAACCGCCATTCGCCACTGAGTGGCGGTGACGTCACCACGGCGCTTGTGCCAAGCTAGGTGCACGTTAAGGCCACGTGAAGTGTCGAACGGCTCGCTGGCAGGGGGTCACGGGACAGACCCAGCGGGTGCCACGGGTCAACTGACTGAGATGAGTGGCCGATGCACCGCCGGTGCCCCACACCCCCTCCTGTGCCAACTTGCTGTGCTTTAGCCAAACTCGGCGCTCTGCTCATTGTTGTGAGCGTCGCTCCTCTGACACGCGCGCATACGCGTGTACTGGTAACGCGCGCGGGGGGGGGTGGTGGTGTTAACTAGACTGGGTAAAAACAAACGCTGTACAATTAAACGTTGAAATCGAAGAAACAGACGTTATTATTGCGTTGGAATTTAGTTTTGATCTTCCGGGACTTGTGAAAAAGGCCTGTTTTTGTATTAATGTTTGTGCAGGAAAGACAAATCGAAGCGTCACGGTCGTTTTACCAAAACAGGGGCAATGTCTTCCCAGCGAATGTGTCTGTACTTCAAATATATTGGGGAATATTAACATGATAATGTAATGGGAAGGCTTTATCCAGCAGTAGTGGATTTATCATGGCTAATGATGATGCTGAATGCAAATGAGGGCTTCATCCAGCAGTGGATTTATCATGGCTGATGATGATGAATGCAATTGACCGCTTCATCCAGCAGTGAATTGATCATGGCTGCTGATGATGAATGAAGTGAGGGCTTCATCCAGCAGTGGATTGATGATGGCTGATGGTGATGAATGCAATGGGGAGGCCTTCATCCAGCGGTGGATTGCCGAAGGGATGTAAATCATTCTAATGCAACGCCAGACACATCATTGGCTGTCAATAGCCACGGCCCCAATGAACGCGTTTGTAACAAAACGCGCGCATGTTTACACGAGTCGTCTCACACCCGCTAGAGTTATCCAAATGTTTCATTTGTTTTTGTAAAAAAATATCATTCTGACCTCTTGAGGTTTTTTTTTTTAGCAACTATGCGAGGTGAATTGCATCAGTGCAATCGTTTCGTTGTTTCTCTCTCCGCAATGAACCAATGACCTCTCCAGGTGTACGGGTTAAACAACAACAAAGACTGTGAACGACGCTCCCAGAAAACAGTCGTGCCCGTTAAGCCCTGCATTGTACTGTACTCCTAGGCTCAATGCCTCCCTCGCACAAGAGAGAGGTGGGGGGGGGGGCAGAGAGATATTTGTAGAATAATTTTGCAATGCCTCGTGCTACCCCATCAACTCCTTTTTTTAAATCGTTTCGTGTACCTTCAAAGCGCTTGTGAATAATAACGATGACGACGACGATGATGATGATGATGATAATAATAATGATAAACGATAATAGTGATGAGGAAAACAACGAAGGAAAATCAACGACGTCTTCACGAGTTTTTCTGCGAAATCTTGATCGTGACCGTCTTTACTTCGGTGTACTCCTGCAGGCCGTACTCGCCCCTGTGGCGACACAACCAGGGTGGTTACTGATGCTCTGCACGAGACGTGTGTATGGACATTATGTGGAACTTCTATCGCGCCGTACGTGGCTAACCGTGCTAAACTATTTACTTTTTTTTTAAACCATGTATTTTTAATTTTACCAGGTAAGGTCCCACTGAGCTATGAAGCTCTTTTTCAGAAGCGACCTGGCCACAAATGATAGCTCAACAAAGTGGCTTATCATGTGGAAATGTATAGCGGCCAAATGTTCTAAACGCACGTTGTTTCTAAATGTGGAGGGAAACATCGGAGGACCCAGAGAAAAATTCGCACGACCACGGGGAGAGAGACACGCAAACTCCAAATATACAATCTAGATTTGAAGTTTTCGTGACTGCAGGGATCCATACTCTTTGGTTCTTTCGGTAAAGTCACATAGGTATAAAATAAAATAAATTAAATCACGGCGTTTCGGCGGCAAATATACAGCAGGCATCAGGGTCGTAATCGAACTCACGACCTCCTGTATACCAGACGAGGTAGTTGACATCTCGCCACCGTGGTGCCCAAATCTGTGCTAATCTGAGATGTGGCGCCACACCTTCTTCCCCACCCGCCAAAGCTGCTCAGACCGCTTCATTAAAAATGTAAAATACATATGATAAAACAAAACAAGACGCGATGTAAAAATCGGCGGCCTTCCGTATTTAAAAGCTCTCTGAAGTATCATTGCTCAGGGCCGTGCCACGGGTTGCTCGAGGTGACGACCGCGTGAATTGGTCGGGGGAATTGGCAATTTGGGAGCGGCGTCACACGCGCTCCAAGACACTGCAGCGAGCACGCTCGATGGTTATAAACAGGTGGCGTAAAAACGAAAATGATTCGCCAACTGCAATCGGTTTCTTGCACTGGCAGTAAGAATGCTTGAGTGTAAAAATGTATTATTCACGAGGTGTGAAAAGTTCTTGCCGATGTAAAATTTTCGGAATGATAACGGATGAAGGGTAAAGAATGAGGCTGCAAACCAGAATCAGCCAATTTATTTATCCTGGAAGAATCCGATGAGCTACAAAGCTCTTGTTCACAGATATCCAGTAAATATTGATAGGACGAAAATAAATTCGTGAATCCGAGTGTTGACTCCGTTACTTTGGCGGTGCACCAAATCAGCAAGGCGAACGGATAATCAATTAACTTCATAAAAACAGACACCAATGCTAATTCCAAGGAAAAGTCTACATTATTCTTGTTGTTTAAACATTCCTCGGTATAAAGACCGGTTTAAAAGTGGCATTATGTACCGTACTTACATTTCACGGCCATTCCCGGACATCTTGTAGCCCCCAAACGGGCTCTGCGCATTCATAGCATTGTAGCAGTTGATCCTGCAGACAGCGAGCAGATGTTAAGTATCTGCCCTTAAATTTTGATTTAAAGCTTTCGTGACTGCAGTAATTCATATTCTTAGCTCTTTCGGTAAAGTCACGTTGAAGGGAAACAATAAAATAATAAAAAATATATAAAACAATAAAAAATAAAAATTCTCACGACGTTTCGACCAAACAGTCATCATCAGGTGTGAAAAACACCTGATGATGACTGTTTGTGTTATGGTCGAAACGTCGTGAGAATTTTTATTGTTTTATATATATTTTTATTATTTTATTGTTTCCCTTCAACGTGACTTTACCGAAAGAGCTAAGAATATCTGCCCTTAGTCAAGTTTCTGACCTATTCACACCGCTGAAGGACCACAAATCCACTCACACACTTTCAGCAACTTTTAACTGTGCCCACTTTGTTGATTACAAACTTGGGCGGTGTACCAGTGACCCTCGAACTGCAGGTATGTTCATTAATACTGCACCGTCATCATCATCATGAACCGATATCATTTTATAATTTTTTATCAGCCATTGCTTCTCCACTGCTGGATGAAGGTCTTCCTGCATCATCAAATACCGATGAAAGAATTTAATTACATGCATATTAACAGCTCTGTTATCAATCCATTGCTTGATAAGGGCCTTACCACACGATGCGGATCATTTGGCCATACCTCACCACACTGCTTATTACTGCTCAACGAAGACCGTGGGAGCACAGACGTGGGGGCAGTATAAGTAGAGTACAACCGCATGGTGGTTAGAAAACAAAAACGGACGATTTTAAATGTTCCTCTCTTTTTTTTTTCTTCAACCCGTGCATTTGCCGATCGTGGGAGACGCTGCGGCCCACCCTTCGCTCCCTCGCCCGCCCACCCACCAGACGGTGCCGGCCTGCATCGCGGCCGATACGGCGAGGGCGCGCTCCAGGTCGCGCGTGAACACGGCGCCCACCAGGCCGTACGGGGAAGCGTTGGCGCGGGCGACCACGTCCTCCAGCGAGTCGAACCTCATGATCAGCTGCACGGGCCCGAAGATCTGCATGACGGCACGATAGCATTGCGGGCTAGTGTCGCCGTCACGGTATGGTGGCGAGTGGGATCGTCGTGGAAAGGCCCGGAGCGGTCGCTCCCAGCCTTTCTGGACCTGCGGACCACTGCGGAACTTCGACAGGAATTTTGTAGACCACTTCCCACAGCCTTGCAGGCCACAAGTGGTCCATGGACCAGAGGATGGGACCCACTGGCTGTGAGGTTACAGGTTTCTCTCGGTGTATGCGGCAGTAGTGGATGCGTTCGAAAGCGAAATCGCACACAGTACACCACGCACAGTGTCGCCCCACGTCCGACCGCATAGCCGCATGAGAGTGAATTCAAACCGCATGACGTAGCGAATTTTGCCTAGAAATAGATTGGCCGCATATCTGCGAAATCGCACAAGCCTAGCCCGCGTAACGCCTGTAATTCACGCGATCTCTCACTGATTTTCGCAATCTCTCCTGATCGAGTGCTGTTCATTTGGCCAAGCCCAGACAATAACCGGCCGAGTGCGTACCTCCTCGCGAGTGATGCGCGCGCTGTCGGGCACGTCGGAGAACACCGTGGGCTGCACGTAGAAGCCTCGTCCTTCGCAGGCCACGCCGCCGCACTCCAAGTGCGCCCCCTCCTCCAGCGCGCTCTGCACCAGCTCCAGGATCTTGGAGCGCTGCTTCTCGTCAATCTGTGGAGTAGGGGGCCATCCATTTAGTCCGTACGCATGGAAGGTGGGGGGGAGGGGTTAACCCAAATGCATACGTTTGCCTATGGGGGGTCTACTGACAATGTACGTACGCATAGGAACAGGGGGGTTGGGTGAAGCCTCGATATTAATTTGTCGACATTGGCCTTCAAATGAGCCACAGTTCAGTGCCTTCAGCTGTCAGACAACAAGTACTAGCGGGAGAAGTGGGACTGTGGGAGAGGTGTCACTTGTGTGCCACCGTGCCCCTGACTGCAGCTATCACGCAGCTCAGCAAAATGAGTGGCCAAGGTACGCAACTTAATTATTTAATGCAGCCGTCGGTGGGCTATCTGTTTGCTTAAACACGTTAATATTATTAATCCTTGATCGTTTCTGCGTGGATTAAATATCGGCCGTTCTATAGGATTCGAGGCAGGGGGGGGGGGGGGGGGGGAGGTGCGTCAAGCGTACGTACGCAGGTGGGGGGTGTAAAAAGTACGCGTGCATACAGGCAGGGGAGGAGGGCTGAAGTTTTGACAGATTTGTACGTACCTACTAAATAGATGGCCCCTAGGGGTGGATGGGCGGGGGGTGCGAGGGGAGGGGAGTGGGGGGCCGGGGGGCAAGTAGCACGGGCAGCGAGGGATTCACATTTTGTGGATCTCCAGGCTCCTTAGAATGTTATTGTTAACGTTGTTGTTGTTGTTGTTGTTAAGGCATGTGGCATTGTGGGTAATTTGATTCTGCACTCCTACATTGGATTGTCATGGGTAATGTTGCAGTTGTGCTTTTGTACGGTTACGGTGAACTTGGTTGTTTTTGTTGACATGGTTGTTGTTATGGATGTGGTTGTTGTTGTGAACGTGGTTATTGTTGCTGTGAACGTGGTTTTTGTTGTTAATGTGGTTGTTGTTGTGAACGTGGTTGTTGTTGTGGACGTGAGCACGGGCTCACCTGTGGCCCGTGCTCAGTGCTCGGGCAGAAGGGGTGGCCGACGCGGCGCACGCGTGCCCGCTGCGCGCTGCGCCGCACGAACTCGTCGTAGACGGGGTCCTCCACGTAGACGCGAGATCCCGCCGTGCAGCACTGGCCCTGGTTCCAGAACACCCCCTGGTGCGCCTGCTCCACCGCCGCGTCCACTGCTCGTAGTGGGAGGGGGGGGGTGGAGGGGTGGGAACCACGCCGAGTCAGCAGTGTCACAGCAGGGGCGCGTAACGAGCAATCAGGGCTTGGCGCTCCCCGCTGAATAATTTCCGGCTCGCTGGTAGACAGGAGAGAGAGAGAGTCGGTGGCACGCGGCGACTGGCGAGATGTTAACTGCCTCGCTTGGTACGCAGGAGGTCGTGGGTTTTTCGATCCCAACCCTGACGCCTGCTGTATATTTGGAGTTTGCGTGTCTCGCTCCCAGTGGTTTGTGTGGATTTTCTCTGGGTCCTCCGGTTTTTGACGCGTTTAGAGAATTTGTCCGCTTAAAATTTTAACGTGACGAGCCACTTTGTTGAGCTATCGTCTTTGGCCAGGACCCTTCTGAAAAAGAGCAACAGTAGCTCAGTAGACCTTACCTGGTGAAATAAAAGGTTTAGCAGCCACAGTAGTAGCCGCCACAGCCATAGCAAAAGGTATACTGGATGTGGGTTTTGCGGGTGCGGCTGAAGGTAGGCCCATGTGGACTCCACCCATCACCAAGCCACAACATGTAACATTGTATACACAAAGACAAATACCCCCCGTATAACCTGATCAGATTGTTGGGGCAAGTGCTGTTAGCGAGTACCGATGAAGGCCGGCAGGGCACAAAAGGGGGTGGGGTGGCCAACACCATGTCGGCTGCGTTTGTCTCCCCAATGGTGATGTTTACACACCACACACCAGGTGCTCCTTTGAGGCTGAGTCGACCTCGGGGAGGCCCATGATCGGCTCAGATAATCATCACTGGTGTTGGCCATCAGCGGGCATCAAACCCGGGTCGCCAGGTTCATAGCACAGCGTGCTAACCGCTATACTACCACTCTCCACGTACACACACACACATGCATGTATGGTTGTTGAGCTTTTTTTGTACCGTACGTAGTCAACCGTGTTAAATACACACACACCACGCGTCAAACCGCACGGAAAACCAGGCGGTCGATTCGTCATTAACATTTAGCATCAGGCCACGGAATATTGGCTGCGCAATCTCACGTGTTATATTTAAGCAGTAGCTTCAAGAACACACGCAACACGTGCGTGCGGATGTGTTTTGCGCTGCTTGGCACGGAACGGAGCGGAGCGGAGGTGACTCACGGTCGGCGTCGGCGAAGACGATGATGGGGCTCTTCCCGCCAAGCTCCAGCGTCACGCGCTTCAGGTTACTCTTGCCGGCCTCCTCCTGGATCAACTTCCCCACCTGCGTTACGTAAGGGGGTGCCGGCGGGCGGGGTGGAGGGGGGCGAAACGGCAAAAACAACGACGTGGAATTACGCACACGTGCAGCCCTCGTCGATGACGAGGTAGGGACCACAAAGAGAAGAATCGACCGCCACTTCCAGCTCTCATCTGCAATGAACATAGATATTGGAAAAAAAATCCATCCTCGATTAACGCAATTTGTCTTGGAATATTTTGAGCTGCACATGATGGGAGATGCAGGTATAAGGGCCGTGGATGGATGGCATTTATAGGGTTGCACTCATGACGCATTAAGTGCTTGCCACAAATGAATCTCGTCAAGGAGCATAACCCATCACTCAAACTCAAGTTAGTTTCGCAGCGGCTTTTGGCTGGCTATCGTACAAAGATGGTCACTGCATCGCGTGATTTCAGGTGCGCTTCTGCGGCCGTCTGGAAAGCTCTTCCTTCCGATATTAGGAAGCCACTGGAGCTATGTATTTTAAATCTAGATTAAAAACTAAAATTTTTAAATGCTTTGTGTGTTTAGTTTGTTGTCCTTTCCCCACACCTCCGATTACCACGTACAGTGCTAAATAAGTTCAACATACATTTTGTTGTAATTGAAAAGGTAGCTAAAATACTGTGAGGTCATGTGATCTTCAGTGCAATAACAGCTCCCTACTCATCCCCCATCCCAGCCCCCTCTTACACCACCACTAGGAATTGCGTGTAGGGTAAGATCCAGTGGCATTGCAAGTCACCTGCCCACGCTACAATTACAATACACGCCATGTGTAAACGTGAACACACCTCAAGACGCTGTACAGAAACGGCGGGCTTACTCGTTTTTAGGGAGAGGCGGTCAGTCATAGACTGGGGGATAACAGGAAAGTGTTGAGCCTGGACATCCATGTCTGCTACCAATTCCAAGCCACAGGCCTTTAACCTGAATCCAAACCACGGCGAGCTACCTCCCCCCCCTCCCCCATCTTCAACCATAACCTGATCACAAAACACAACGTATACGTGTAAGTAAGACCCAGTCTTTGGTAAGAGTGGGCAGAGCTTCGATCTATGATTTCTTTCCCCAGCAAATTTTTTTTAAAGTAAACTGGCCAAACATTCCCAAGCAGGACCCACCTGAAAATGAATTTTGAGAGTTGCCAGAGTACACAAAGAGAGAGGGTGGCGTGTGTATTTTTTTACGCACACCAACGCGTGGTGTATGCGTCAAACCGTAATATCATTTGTCGTCTCGCTTTGCGTCTTAATAGTGACAAAATAATGGAAACGGTTAAAGAACAGAAAGAAAATCCTCGTACAATTTCGGATCAAAGGTTCTCTTTTCCTTCTTGGTTTTACTGGGAGCTGTGGCCTCAAACTCCTTCGCACAAACGCCACGGACGTGGCCTCTTTTCAAAGTTTCCAAGAGGAGTCGCGAGAGCGGCCAAGGGGCCCTGCGCGGCACGGAAAAGCCCCCGCGGATTGTAACGCTCGTCAACTTTAAAGGGCGTGAGGGAGGCCGTCAAAGCTGAGGGTAAACAGGACCCCGGCGCTGGGACGTTCTCTTCCACCTGCTGCTTCCCTCCTTCGCGTCTGCTTCATCTCCAAAAGAAGCCCCTTGTGCACGTGCACGGATGTGTGTGTGTACGGGTGTGTGTGTGTGTGCCGGTGTGTGCGGTGGTGTAGCGGTGTAGCGGTTAGCGCGCTGCGCTACAAACCTGGCGACCCGGGTTCGATTCCCGCTCACGGCCAACATCAGTGACGATTATCTGAACCGTCCCTGGATCTCCCCTAGGTCGACTCAGCCTCAAATGAATACCTGGTGCGATGTGTAAACATCGCCACTAGGGAGACAAAGGCGGCCGGGCATGGTGTTGACCACCTACCCCCTCGTGTGCCGTGCCGGCCTTTATAGGTGCTCGCGAACAGCACTTGCCACTACAGTCTGTTAAAGCTATACGGGGGATCTTTGTGTCTGTGTGTGCGTGGGTATGGGTGTGTGTGTGTGTGCACGTGCGTGCGTGCGCAGGGAGCGTTCGTGCGGCGGGTTTAGCGCACTTTTTTCACGAGCTCGCTTAACACCAACGACGGCGACGGATATTTGAAGCGGCCCTGGGCCTCCCCCTAGGTCGATTAAACCTAAAATGAGTACCAGCTGCGGCGTGGTGAACATTACACATGGGGACACAACGGCGGCCGGGTGCGGTGTTGGCCACCCATCCCCATGTGCCGTGCGCTTGTCTTCATCAGGTTCTCACTAACAGCACTTGCCCCAAACATCTGTATAGGCGATGGGGAGATTTTGTATTATTACTTTGTGTGTTTGTGCATGCGACCGGTTGTGCAGTGGCTATCGCACTAAACTATTAATCTGGCGATCCGAGTTCAATTCCCGACCATACTTAACACCAGTGGTGCGTGATCTCTGAACTGGCCCTGGGCCACCCTTAGCTCGACTCGGCCCAGCATTAGTACCTGGTGCGTCGTGTGATCGGAGGACGCCTCAACGCGCACAAGGAATCCTGCGGGAGCCAGACGGGCCGGTCGCCTTCGCGAGGCTGGGGTATGGGTCGAAGGCTTTGTGGGAGGCGTTTCACGCAGCAGCGGACCGATCATGGCCGACGAGGCTGACGAGTGCAACGGCGCGGACGTCCGAGGCAGGACGTTGGGGGAAACGTTTGCACGCGTCGCTGCCGGCGTGATATGCGAGCGCGGCTAAGCCCCTGCGTTTGACCCTCGCCGTGCACACTCAGCACATCCCATCTGGCGGCAAATTAGCGCTCGCGCACAACGCGCCACGATGCGTTCGTGGCGCGCAACTCGGCGCAGTGAAAAAAGCGGCGCTCACGTTCCCAGCGTTCGGGGCGAATTATCTCCCGAGCGTTTAAAAGAGAAAAAAAAAACACTGCACCTCGCCGCAAGTTACACGTGCGCTCTGCGGTTTCCTGGACGTGTCCCCGTAAATAGTTTCTCGAACTTAAGCAATCGTTAATAAAAACAAATTACCAGACCGCAAGAAAAAAACAAACAAATAAAACCAACCCGCTCCCTAAATTCTTCCCTCTTTCATATATATGTCGTCTTACATTAGGTTTAATTATCACACGACGCGCGGTTCAGCGCTGTACGCGCCACCCCCCCCCCCCCCCCCACCCCGCTCGCGTTGTAGTGTGCAGTCGCTCGTTCAGCACGACGTCGTCCGACGTTTCGCTCCACGCTCGGAGGAATTTTTAGTTTGAAAGAAGCTCCCCGGGCCACCGAGCGGAGCGAGCGGTCGAAGAGTCACGCGGAAACCCACGCACGCCCCCCACCCCACCCACCCACCGAGCCAGCGCACGACGACGTCGGGCGAGCTAATTATAGCCCCCTGGCAACGTGACGGCTCCGGCGTCCTTGAGAGATTGAGTCGCGCCACTCGCGGCCAGTGGCGGGCGGGCGGGCGGGGGACCGCCAACGACGTAAATCAACGCTCGTGGCCGCCTGGGCAGAGAGTGACCTTGGCGGTACGCGCGAGCAGAAGCCGACCAGACCGCATCGCGAGAGCCCCACATGTGGCAAGAGCGTGGCCGCGAGAGACGCGATAATAATGAAATAAATTGATTGCCCCCCCCCCCCCCCCCGTTTCCAGCTTTAATATAAATATTCTAATGTAATCAATGTATAAAATAATATTACCATTCTCACGTGAATAAAAAGAACACAGGTTGTTGGTTGGGTGGGTGGGTGTGGTGCAAGTGTTCGCCTGTCACCGGGCAATTTGCAAAATGGGCCGCCGCGCTCGGAGAGAGCACGAGACACAGCGCCGATGTAAACGATTCACCGCTCCTCATCAACGTAGCTTTGGGACGTTGCTCGGAAATCGTGGGGGCGTTGCAGCGTGCCACCGCCTAGGTAACGTACGAGCGCGGGTAAATCTGCTGGACAGCTGTGAAGAAGAGCTTCGTAGCACATCGGATTTCCTCCAGTGCAAATAAATAGTCTGATTCTGAAATCCGTTCACGTGGGGTTTGGCTTGCGAAGAATGGAGTTTGGTGAAGCCCTACTCTGGCGATTGCTACGTTTCACTCGAATTCCATGAAAGAGGATCAATTCTGCTTTCGAATCGCAACCGGTGGCATTGTGTGGCTGGCATGGGTCCTGGTGAAAGTCGCCGCCCGTCAAGGTTTGCCAGATCTCCCTTGCGAAAATGATTCTTCGTGAAAGGGCTCTCACCTCGTGATACACGTGGACTGTGAGCGACCGGGTTACAAGGAGAAACACCACTCTAAGTTGTGGTGTGAGATACTGGTAGCTGGTTGGCTAGTTGGTTAGGGTTAATGCTTGGGCTAGTACTAGTAGCTGGTTGACTAGTTGGTTAGGGTTAGGTGTAGGGCTAATACTAGTAGCTGCTGGCTAGTTGGTTAGGGTTAGGTGTAGGGCTAATACTAGTAGCTGGTTGGCTAGTTGGTTAGGGTTAGGTGTAGGGCTAATACTAGTAGCTGGTTGGCTAGTTGGTTAGGGTTAGGTGTAGGGCTAATACTAGTAGCTGGTTGGCTAGTTGGTTAGGGTTAATGGTAGGGCTAATACTAGTAGCTGGTTGACTAGTTGGTTAGGGCTAGGTGTAGGGCTAATACTAGTAGCTGGTTGACTAGTTGGTTAGGGCTAGGTGTAGGGCTAATACTAGTAGCTGGTTGACTAGTTGGTTAGGGCTAGGTGTAGGGCTAATACTAGTAGCTGTTTGGCTAGTTGGTTAGGGTTAATGGTAGGGCTAGTACTAGTAGCTGGTTTGCTAGTTGCTTAGGGTTAGGTGTAGGGCTAAGACTAGTAGCTGTTTGGCTAGTTGGTTAGGGTTAATGGTAGGGCTAGTACTAGTAGCTGGTTTCCTAGTTGCTTAGGGTTAGGTGTAGGGCTAATACTAGTAGCTGTTTGGCTAGTTGGTTAGGGTTAATGGTAGGGCTAGTACTAGTAGCTGGTTGGCTAGTTGCTTAGGGTTAGGTGTAGGGCTAATACTAGCAGCTGGTTTGCTCGGCGGTTAGTTGATTCGCGAGCTGGCTAGATTTATGGATAAAGTTCGCATTTGATTGGCTCGTGAACTCCGCACTCCATCTGCTTCCTCCACACTGCACCGCGTGGAGCGCCCTTCAGTTCGAGGACACGTTATGGTTTCTGGTGCTCGCATCTCCCCCACTGCCCATCTCGCGATTTTGTCAGCCATGCTGCGACTCCCCGACATGCCAGGTCGGCACCACGGCGACCGTGCTGCGGTTACCACGATGACTCTAGCGCGGTTACCGTGGTGACCGTGAGGTGCGGTTACCATGGTGACCGTGAGGCGCGGTCACCGTGGTGACCGTGAGGTGCGGTTACTCTGGTGCCCGTTGTGCGGTTACCTCGGTGGAGCCGGTGAACGCGATCTTGTCGATGTCTGGGTGCTGTACGATAGCCGCCCCGGCCGTGGGGCCAAATCCCGGCACGATGTTAACGACGCCCGGCGGAAACCCGGCCTGCACACACACAAAGACAAAGATCCCCCGTATAGCCTTTCACTGGCTGTTGGGGAAAGTGCTGTTAGCGAGCACCTATGAAATCCGACACGGCACACGAGGGAGGGGGTGGCCAACACCACGCCCGGCCGCCTTTGTCTCCCCAGTGGCGATGTTTACACACCGCACCAGGTACTCATTTGAGGCTGAGTCAACCCATAGGGGGAGGCCCAGGACCGGTTCAGATAATTGTCACTGGTGTTGGCTGTGAGTGAGAATAGAACTCGGGTCACCAGGTACGTAGTGTAGCGCGCTAACCGCTCCACTACCGCTCTCCACACACGCACAATGTTACACACACAACACAGTGATCCCGAATATAGCTTTAGCATACTGCTGGGGCAAGCGCTCTTAGCGAGCACCCATTAAGGCAGGCACGGTGCAAGAAGGTGTGGTAAGGATATTGCGCCACGCTGCCAATATTTGTATCATCTTTTCCAGCGCTGATGTTTACACACCGCATCGAGTACTCATTTGAGACTCTGCGAACCTATGGGAGCCTCAGGATCGGTTCAGATACCACTCGCCACCAATGTGAGCCGTGGCTGGGAATCGAACCTCAAGGTCGCTTGATTCGGTCGCACAGTGCACTCATAACCATCTTCGCAAAAAAAAGACAGAGACGCACGTAAACACACAAACGTACACATACATACACGGGTGTGCTCACACAAGGACGACAAACGCAACGACCGTGCTTACTTACCGCTGCGGATTTATTACGAAACGCGATGGACGCTCGTGTTCTCAGACCGCTCTGCAGGCTTGCACAATGATGACATTACTCGAAAACGAATTTTTAATCGCTTAATTTCCACCCCCCCCCACCCCCCGATGTCATATTTTTCTGCGCGGCTTAATGATTTTTTTATTCAAAAACAATAAAAAAAACCCGCATCTACAATGCCAATTGGGAAACAATCCGCCAACACGCTCGGAAATAATTCCAGACTTTTTTTTTTGGAGCATCGTAATCTTTGTTTCTCTTTGCGCCCGATGGAAATTGGAAGAATTCCCAAGGGCAGCACCGGCCGCGGCCCGTCGGTTTTTTTTTCTTTCTGAGATCGCGAAGCGATGCCGGCGGGCGATGTGGCACCGTTCACCGGGCGACTCTGTGAAGGTACCTCTGCGAGTAGGGTTGCACCTGCCTGGCGCGGTGGCCATGACAGAGCCACACTCACAAAAGACCGAGTGACGCACCCCGGGGGATTACAACGGAATTCAACAACAATTGTCATCATCCTTGCAGCAGGCGGCTTTTGGCGAGCCATCGGACAAAGACGGTCACCACGTCACGCGTTTTCAGATGCGCTCCTGCGGCCATATGGAACGCTCTTCCTTCCGGTATTAGGAAGGCACTGGAGCTATGCATTTTTTAACCATCATCTAGATTGCACACTCATTCCTTTACAACCTATTTTGTGTTTAGTTTATTGTCCTTCCCCCGCACCTCCGATTAACACGCTTGGCTACGTACAGTGCGAGAGAAGTTCAACATACATAATCAGCGTCATCAGCAGCAGAAGCAGCAGCATCAATGCATTTAGAATGAGAAACTTTGGCAACCTGGTAAGATAGCAGGATTGAGCTAAATAGAGTTCTATTTTCGCCCGGTTAACGTAGAGTGCTGTATGTCTGCTGAACAATGTTTAAATCTGCAGAGAACACGACCTTGGGTAGTCACGTGACTTGTCTGTCTGGAAGTTGTTTTTTCTCCAGAGTTGCACATCACTCCTGCAGTTTGTGCTACGGTGAAACTTTGGTGTGGCAACTGTTGCCAGTGATATCACAATCCGTGCGTGAGAGATATTTTGGTAAATGCAACCGCATCTCAACATACTTTACGAATTCTGTAGACCGTGGACAACTTAACAAATTGTACGTAATTACACACTGAAAATGTACATTACATTTGTATTACCATAGCCATATGGACATCAAAAATGATAATTCCATATTGTGAAGATCTTGGTATCTAAAAATATATATATACTTTTGAATGAAAGCTACATTATTTGCATAAACAAATAGCTCAATTTGTCACCTGTTCAAATTTGTGTACGTAGAACTTTATTCGCACCGTACGTCACCAACTGTGCAGTGCAAAAATCCATTGTATATGCCTTAACGTGTGACATTATTTCTCCCATGTAATACAACCTGCAATAAAACCACGCTGCGTCACTGAGCTCAGACCTCGTTACAACAGAGGTTACTATTATTATTATCATTACTGCACACACTGGACCGTTTTACTAATTAATTGTGGGGTGTTTTGTTACTGTTGACAAGACGTGGCTCTCGGAGGCAGCGGGTTGCAATGTGGCTTGTGTAAATGTTGGAAATCCGCAACTCGACAAATGGCTATAACGAGGGAGGTCACAACGCTGCAAGCCCCGGTCTCTTAAGCAAGCCGGTGTAACACCTGCTACGAGGCCTTATGGAAAATGTCATCTGTTAAACTGCCCCCCCCCCAAAAAAAAAAAACACACACACATTTGGGGTAAAAGTAAAAACAAAAAAAACTCAAAACAAAACCATAGAGTCGGGAGGAATTCCCTCGTTCGGCCGCCAACTGCGGTAATCACCCGGGCGGTTGTTATTATTTTCTTCTTCTTCTTTTTCCCCTAAATATATTTTGGCAGTTTAACTCGCAGATGACATCGGTCATAAGTCCTTGTGTACACTGCGTCTGCCAGCACGTTTGCAAGTGTGCCAGCTGTGCTTCAGACACCTGTAACGTCTCCCGAGTGAACCGAATGGCATCAACAGGCGAGCCCCCCCCACCCCCCCCATAAGCTCATCAATCAGGAGGTGTCAGTCCTCTGGCAAAATGTTCACTCTTGTGCCAAAGGACCTTTTCCAACGATCTGTTCTGAATCTATCACATATGGATTAATGTGTGTTTTAGTCTATCGGCAAATTGGCTCTCAGCAGCATTTGTTGAAAACCAATATTATCCATCAGCATATGTGTATTTATGTAGAACTTCTTTCGCACCGTATGTCGCCAACCGTGGACTAAAGATATTTGTAAATATGCTTTTACCCATAATGCTCCACAACAATTCATAATCAGTCCCTTGAAGGGATAGCAGAGGTAGCTCTGCGATATCCACTTCCGTGGGCCGTCCTCCAACACCAAGGGGCATGCTGATCTATGGGAGTTCTGAGTGCATTCATTATCTCATAACATGACGCCGAGAGCACAATTGGAATGAAAGTAGGGGAAAGATACCACAAATTTGTATACCTCTTGTGGAAATAAGTCACCGACAGAGCCACTTTTAGCAAAGCGTCCTGCTTTGATCGACCGGCCGGATTAGGCCGATGACAAGCGTAAAACTCACAACGGACGGCGAGAAGTCACGCCGACGAACGTGGCCACGGAGCAGGGGGTGGTGGTGGGGGAAGCGGCCGATAGAGCCGTCAAGGCAAGCGGCGGCCGCGCCGGGCGGGTGGCCGCATGTGACACTAATTAACGCCGAGCGCTAATCCCATAACGAGTGCACTTAAATGCGTGACCGACGAGTGAAGGGCGGATTGCGTTTCACTTCGAGTGGCTGGTGGACAGGCGGGCCGGCGGGCGGGCGGTCGAGCGGGTCTGTGTCGGCAGTTGGGTGCTCACGGTAAATGTTTTTTGTTTGTTTTAACCAAAAGGGCAAGTGAGCGTTTGCACGTGCGGAGCGACGGTGCGGTGGTTTTCGGGCGCTACATAGCGATCCCATTGCTATTGCTTCAATTCCTGGCCATCCACAACATCAGCAGCAGCAACGCTGTGGCAGTATATCTGGGCCTCTCCGTAACAAGCACCTGCTGCAGTTTATGACCATCGCCGCTGGAGAGATAAAAGCGGTGACACAGTGGATAGCGCACTGCACTACGAACTCAGCAACCTGGATTCAATTCCAGGTCATGGTCTACATCAATGGTGAGTGATATGTGAACTTCTTCTTGGCCTCCCTGAGGTCAACTCAGCCTCAAATTAGTACACTGTCGGGCATGCTTTTGGCTGGACCATGCTATCGGACCTCAAGTAGCTCGCGAACGACACTTTCCCCCCGCCTTGGTCATAAAGCTACGGTGGGAAATCTCCATGATACCCTATTGCAATGTGGCTTTAAGCCACGAGAAATTTCCAGCTGAGCATGGTCGCCGCGAGCGCCCATGGAGGTCGTGAAGCAAACGAAGCCGTCGCGCGGCGCGAGGCGCAGGGAGGGAGCCGTCGAAGGGGCCGCGTCGTCGTCGCGCTCCGCCGGGCGTTTGTGTCTTCTGCAGATTTCAGTCGGTTTTTATTTCTCTCCCGATTTCAAAGCCGCGGCTCATTTCTGCGGGAATGCAGGAAGAGAGCTACCGGCTTCGGGCGGCCCTCTTCCTCGGCTTTTGTATTTATTTGCTGCCATGCAAGATAATAAACCCATCCTCGGGGCCTGTGCAAGCGAGTGAGCGAGCGAAAATAGAAACCATCCCCCCCTCCCCCCCCCGCTCCTGAGTTGGTTTCCAGAGCGATCGGGTTTCGTTCTCTGCTCCGCACCGCCGCGCGCTGCGTCGGGTCCGCCGACGCAGCGGCCACGGCGGGGGAACACGCGGCCGGCGGTGATCGCTTCCATCTGTGCGGCAGCGGGCGGACGGACGGTGCGACGAGCAGCAGTTGTGGCCAGCGGGCGATGGACATGGGGGGTGGCGGGGGGGGGGGGGAGCGGCTGAGTGGGGGCGGGACAGGACGGGCCACGTTGGCGGGCCAACGGGAAGGCACGGCGGGGGAAGGGGGGGGGGGGTACGTGGCCTCGACGTGATGGTGCGACAGTCCCCACCGTTCCCGGAGGGACTGAGTCACGGTCACCGGCGGCGCCTGTCAGGCCCAGGTGACGGGAGCCCCTCTGATGTTTTCGCGACTCGCCCGCAGTCCGACTTTTCGCGGTCGCCGACCGGGAGGTGCACTTATTGTTGTCGCGCGCGGTGGCGCAATTTGCAATTTGAGAAGAGAAGGGGTTGGCGGATCGCGACGCCAACGATCCAGGCCGTGAGAACACGCCCTGCAGCCGATGCCGTTGGCAAAACGTATCCTTACAAGGGAAAATATGGAGGGCACGGGCCCACGTTTCGCATGACGAGCCTCCTTCAGAGCAGAACAAAGATGCCGTGGCTGCGCATTTGCGTGACGACAAAGCGTGGCCAACTCGCGCGGGGCGGCCCAAAATGAGCTTCGGCAGTCAAATTCCGAACGCGCCCCAAAAAAAACCCGAAAACGACGGCAATTTGGCAAAACGTTCCACCAATTATCAGCGCGCGCTGCCCATACCTTATCTTCGTCATCAGCCGCCAGGAAGATTGATCTCCTGCTGGGAGAAGGCTTCCCGACGACATCGCAATCTCCAGATCGTACCTAAATCATACTTAAACCCCCTTTAATTGCGACCGAAAACCTACCCTCGATTTGGAGGTTAAAAACCTCCGAGCCGATAACAGCGATCGTGTCCAAGTGAAAGGCCTCGCCAATCGTCCCTCCGCGCTCCCGCTACGAGTGCGGGACGTCTCCCGTGGGAGGAGGAGGTTGTGGGGAGGGGTGTTGGTGGAGAGAAGGGGGGGAGTATGAGGGGGGAGGGAGCATGAGGAGGAACACCGGTGTTTGCAGATGTTGTCGGAGCTAATTGAAGGTCATGGGAAGCACGTGCGGATTTTGGGCCATCGCGGACGCACGTCGCTCGCTCGCTCAGGGTGTGCGCCGGCTCCCAGCATTGGCTAGCCGCCCGCCATCGATCCTCCATGCAACACAAGATAGTAGAGTTTCCTTGGAAAGCTCCGACAGGCTGGTAAGCAGCCGAACAGAGCCTCCGATGCGTTTAAAGTAGCTGCAAGTGTGAAGTGAAAGAATAACAAGAAAACCGCGCGCGGCCACGGGACGCAAAGTCGCGCCCACACTGCCGCCCGTCTTCTCCATTGTAAGAGGAGCCCAGAGACCCACAGAGACTAACTAATAAAACCCACTGCCAGCACCACTTTTGCCCAATAGAAATATAACCGGGAGGGAAGTTTTGTAAATTGATATAAAAGTCAGCAGCGAGCAGGCGAACGGGCGGGTGAGTGAGAGTGCGGGCTTGTACGGGTAGGTGAGAGGCAGGTCAGCGACCAGGCAGGCGAGTCCGAGCGTGGGCGAGTGAGTGCGAGGGTGAGCGCACCTCGGCAATGAGTGCTCCCACGTGGAGGGCGGTGAGTGGCGTCTGCTCGGCTGGCTTCACGACCACGGTGTTCCCGCAGCTCAGGGCCGGTGCAATCTTCCAAATGAACATGAGCAGCGGGAAGTTCCACTGCATCACGAACGCACGCACGCACACACACACCACGCACACACACGCACACACACCACGCACACACACACACATACACCACGCACACGCACACCCACACACACCACGCACACACACACACACACACCATGCACACACACACCACGCACATACACGCACACACACACACACACCACGCACGCACACACACACCACGCACACACACACACCACGCACACACACACATGCACCACGCACACACACATACACACACCACACACGCACACACACAAATTGGTCTGAAAATAAGTAGGGTCATTGCACAAAGTTACGTCACTTCTACAATATCACATCTGCACTTTTCCCAGCCAAAGTGCCATCATGCGGCATTGAGTGACATCACTTTTGTTGGCGCGATAATGCGTCAAATAACTACATCATCTATACCATGAGAAAATCGAAATATATCTATTTTTCTGAAATTCTCCTTAAAAATCCGAATTCAGATTTTTTTGTTATCAATACGAAACTCATCCCGAGTTAGTGGGTAGCTATAGGACAGAATGTAAGTAAGATGGGTGACAGCGTAGGTCGGTAGGTAGCCATACAAGCAGGGGCATGGGTTAGTTGAGAAAACAGGCAAGAAGCTCTGTGTCCTTCAGTGCAGGTGAGCGCCCACTGAGACGATTGCCTCCCTCGCAGGGAAGACTCGGTGAAATCTACACGGCTGCCCAGGGTCAAGACCGGCGCAGCAGGGAGGGGCACATCGTTCTATTTTTCCGCATATTTCTGACTATCGTGCTGCGGGGGGGGGGGGGGGTGGAGGGGGGCCACACGGACGGGTGGAGGAGGAGGGGGCCGGCACACGGACGGGAGCGCCCGCTCCGAGGCTGTGATCTCTGTGATTACAGCGGCAGGGCGGGCGGGGGGGGATGTCAGATGCCTGGCGTTGCCCGTGTGTTTATTAATGGGCGGGTATGGCTGTGATGGGCCAGAGGTCAGCAAAGGGGAGTTGGTGGTGGTGGGGGGGGGGTCTTCCTTACCGGGATGATCTGTCCACACACCCCGATGGGCTCGTGCCGTGTGAATGTGAAGTATTCGCCATCTGGACACCAAAATAAACACGGTTATAGAAACGAGCAAGGGAAAATCGTGCGCGCGGCGCGGATTACACAAACGCTTCACAGCACGCGCTTGTCTTCAAAAGTAGAATAATCATTGATTGGTGGTGGCGCCAGCTGATGGGTAGAGATCAGGGCACAATTGCATCCTCATATTTGCAAATGCTTCTTTTCGATCTGGTTTTGTGTTTTGTGTAATTTGTGGGCAATGCTTTGGTCAACGCGGCCAGTGTCCAACAAGCCCAACGTCCCGAAAGTGTGCAGGACGACGCTGTACAGACGGGAAATGCGCATGATTCATGCGCTCTGAAGAAGGGCCATTGCCCGAAACGTCGTCCGCTATATATTTTTATTCCTTTTAAAGCGCCACCGTGGGATTGACCAGCGTGTTCAGCTGTTTCGTTATTTTCACTACAGGCTCATTCAAGTTGGAACTTCTTTAACGATAGTCATCATGCCTCCCCCCCCCCCCCCCCCCCCCCGTCAATCATACCCACAGCCCCATCTCCCCCTCCCCGATTGCAAACCCGCGGGAATTATTTTTGCTCTTGCAAACGTAAAAACAAGCAAATGCCCATACTTTTGGCTGGGCAATCTCCGCCGACTTTGGCAGATTTCACAGCTCTCGTCCCCTGCCTCACAACTGCAGCCGAGGCAGCATCGGGCCGCTGCTCCGCGAGACGTTAAAGACCTCGCCTGGGATGCAGGAGGTCGTGAGTTCAATCCCGACCCTGACGTCCGCTGTGCATTTGGAGTTTGCGGGTTCTCTCGCTCTCTCTCTCTCCCCGTGGCCGCGTGGATTTGTCTCCGGGTCCTCTGTGTTGTCCCTCCAGATTCAGAATCGACGTCACGCGCTGAGTAATTCTGGCTACTGTTATCATTGTCCACGTGGCAATGAGCCACTTTGTTGAGCCATCATTTGTGATGGCCAGGTCGCTTCTGAAAAAGAGCTACACAGCTCAAGTGGGCCTTACACCTGGTGAAATATAAATGTAGTCTACAGTTTATTTTCATCTCCGCTCTACTACTCGAAACCCTACGCCAGTCTTCGCTCGATTTCCAGCCTGCTCCCCTCTCCCTCCCCTCCCTCCCTTCCCTCAACTCCCTCCCTACTGCTGCTGTTTCCACCATCCGCAATCCCCTCTGGCCGTCTGCAATACTTTTCACATTTTGTCTACGAATGGGCTGACTTTTTTTATGCTGCAGTAATTTGTTCGACCCACGTTCTAATACGGAAATGCATTTTAATTTAACGTTCATTTTATTTTTGCTTGCGCTGACACAAGCGATTTCTTCTGCACCGCGGATCGGTTATTTTTTTGGCTCCCCTTTCTACAACGTTTGTTTTTGCTGTCGTGGATATTTGTTCTGTTGTTGTTGTACTTAGTTGTTACGCTATTGCCATTTTGGTCACTCGCAAATGAGACTCAACCTGGCCTCTTGAGTTCTCGGCTGGTAAAGCAAAATAAATCGAAGCTCAAACTCTTCCCCCCTCCACCCCACCTTGTTCAAGTTAACGTTCAAGACCGTCCTCTTCTCCGCTGCCAGTCACCGACCATCTCACCCTCTCGTCCCCCCCCCCACTGCCTCGCGTTTTAATAAACAACTTCTACCGTAACGCCGTCGCGGCTGCCCCCCCCCTCGCCCCCCCCACGCCTGACAGCTTTCGTGAAATCTGCAGAGCCAGAGTTTTCTAAGTGTGCGTCATTTGTGCCTTGAGTTTGCCGGACGTCGGCACCGACTGAACTTGGCTCAGTGGGACGGGGGCCCTTCGGGAAACGCGGTCATCGTGGCAAGTGTCGGGGTTTTTTTCTCTCCGGCGCTGGGATGCGCAGATGGCCGAGGCTAATTGAGAGCTCGCACAGGGAAGCGGAGATACGGCACGGCTACTTTGTTGGCAAACGCAGCATTGAGAGTTTCGGCTTATTTGAATGGACGCGTGCACGTGTTAAAAACGTACGCATGCGCATGCGTACACACTCGAAAACAGCTATTCAGGCTGCTGGGGCAAGTGCTGATATGCTGATAGCGAGCATGTATGAAGGCCGGCACGAGCACGCTAGGGGGTGGATGACCAGGATTATGCCTGGCCGCCTTTGTCTCCCTAATGGCGATGTTTACACACCAGATCCTCATTTGAAGCTGGATAGACCTTGGTGAGTCCCAGGACCGGCGCAGATAATTGTCACTGTTATTGGTAGCTTACGGGACTCGAATTCGGGTAGCTGACTTTTCTGAGCACCCAGTGCTGCTAACCACTGGCACCACCATGTACAACACACACACATACATGCACGCACATGCACACCACTCCACCAAACACGTGAGCATGAACGTGCTATTCTTTGGGTCTTTCGGTAAAGTCACGTAGATAGATTAAAAGAAAATAACGAAAAACTACGACGTTTCGATCGCAACACAAGCGGTCGTCATTTGGAAAAGGGGGTTAGCTTTTAAAGTCAAACTGTTTGTAAAGGTTTGAAATGGGCGTAGTCCAAATGTCAGCAGTATGGGTGGGGCAGCTTATGTTAATGTAGGTGGTGGGCGGCGACCACGACGGTGATGGATTTTCCACCAATTGAAGAGCTGCCAGGCAAAAATTAGCAAGTTAATGTAAGGTCGGTGAGCAGCCTCCACGGCGAGCGCGCTGAGGTGGCTATGTTAATGTGAGAGATTAGCATGTTAATGTGAGAGATTAGCATGTTAATGTGAGAGATTAGTATGTTAATGTAAGATCGGTGAGCAGCCTCCACGGCGAGTGCGCTGAGGTGGCTATGTTAATGTGAGAAATTTTACCTGTTAATGTAAAATCGGAAAGGCGAAAATAACAACTAACATCGGAAGGTGGTAGGATGGGAACATCACAGCCAGTTATGACTTAAACTGGTTGATAACGTCCTTCCAGTGATTGCTCAGTTTGTACCCATCCTCTTGGTTGAAATTGTGTCTGAGTCTGTATATATGGATGTCTTCATGAACGAATCTCTATTGATAACCAGTGGGTTTGAAAAGTACCTTTGTCTTAGAGAAATCAATTTCGTGTGAGCCCACCGCATTAATCCAATGATCAGCCACGGCCGATGTATTGGTCCTACCGTGTTTCAGATCTGCCTTATGGTCACGAACACGGTCTGAGACATGTCGCTTAATTTTCCCAATGTAACTACTGCCGCAGACACAGCTTGGTTTGTAGACGCCGGGGGATTGCATGTCAGGGATCACATCCTTCACAGATGGGATCAGATCACGAATTTTATGTACTGTGTTAAATCGAACCTGGATCTTGTGTGTGCTCATTATTTTGGAAATATTTTTGGTGACCTCTGCTATGTATGACAAGGTGATGGGTTTTGATTGGGTCCTCAGATAGTTCTCTGGTTGGGGTGATAGCTTTACGGATTGTGTCGTCTGAATATCCAATCATCTTGAGAGCTTGGTGTACGTGTTCTAGTTCACTGGCTAGGTGATGATGGTCGGAAATGCATCGAGCTCTATGGTGTAAACTCCGCGGTGACGGACCGATCCCTCCGTCGCTATTGGCGAGGGAACGATCCCTCCGTCGCCGCGTGCCATGCGAGGGAATGATTTGAAATTGCCCCTCTGCGGCATCGGTGTGAAAAGTAATAAAAAAAGGGTGAAGTTGCAGCCCTTGCTCATGCCACTGCTGACGCAAGGGCCTCCCACCAGACTGAGATCCGAGCGAGGGAAAGAGAGAAGGTATTTGGCCTACCCTTGGACGCTTGCCAGGCGTCCTGGAAAAAATGAATCCCCAAACTTTACTTCAACCACGCAGCCGTGGCCTGCTGATCAACTGCGGTGAATCCATAATTGATTTTTGGGTCAGACCGCAATAAGCCTGACTCTCTCTGCGACCCATAATGTTGGTTGCAAATGCCTCCGTGTTTAAATTTACACTTGGGTAGACAAAGGCAGTGAGGGTGGTTGGGGGGGGGGAGACGGGAGTGGGGAACAATATTTTAAGAAAAATCCACCATTAATATTCAAACTGTCACAGTCTGGGCTTGAAGCGATATGAATGCAGCGCTACCGTCACACACTGTCGGGGACCCCGCGAAAACAAAGAAACGTTGCATCTCGTCCACGGGAGGCTTGATTCCGAGACGTAGACATTTTATTTAAGCTGCAAGAACACCCGTGAGCTGTGAGCAACCGTAGAAATGTGCTGTGCAGCCGATGGGATTAATCCCACGCACTGGACCGCACGCGCTTCGCGCTTCATGCTATGTGGCCGCGTTTGCTCTTAAGGTCCCTGTGCATTAGCGGCAATGGGTGACAGTGTCTTGGCCTGCATGCGTGTTTTTTTTTTGCTGAAGGACGTTCTCGTTGGCTCGAGACGAAGTTCGCACGCACGTACGTGTGCGTGTGTGTGCGTGCGCACGTGTGCGTGCGGGGAGCTATACGGGTGATCTTTGTCTTTGTGGAGAGCGGTAACGCAGTGGTTAACGCGCTGCACAACAAAGCCGGCGGCCCGAGTTCGATTACCTCTCACGGCCGACACCAGTGGCGATTATCCGAATGGGTCCTGGGCCTCTCCTAGGTCGACTCAGCCTGAAATGGGTACCTGGTGTGGCGTGTTAACATCTCCACTAGGGAGACAAAGGTGGCCTGGCGTGGTACTGTCTACCCACTCCCTCGTGTGCCATGCCGGCCTTCATAGGTACTCGCTAACAACACTTAGCCCTATAGTTTAAGTCTATTTGGGGGATCTTTGTTTTTGTCTGTATGTAAGGGGAGTAGTGGAGCGGTGGAGCAGTGGAGTAGTGGTTATTTCACTACACTACGAAGTCCGGTGGCCAGAGTTCGATTCCCGCTCACGACTAATAACAGTGACGCATATCTAAACCACTCATACTTCTATTGCTAGATAGACTCAGCCTTCAATGAGTACCTGGTGTGGTGTGTAAACATCAGTACTCGGAAGACAAAGACGACAAGGGTGAGGTGCTGGCCACCCACCCCCTCGTGTGCCTTGCCGGCACTTGCCCCAACTGCCTGTTTAGGCTATGTGGGGGATCTTTGTCTGCGACGATGTACATGAAAAACTATACCACTCCACAGTGGTGGAAACAACTATAGAAAATACTTTGTATGATTGAGATTTAGTTTTTACAAATGTAGGTCCATTCTTGAATTGTTGGGATCCGCCCCTGCCACTGTCACACCGTGGGAACCTCCCGTGCAAGCGTGCACGTGTGCGTGAGCGTGTGTACGTGCGTGAGCGTGCGTACGTGCGTGAGCGTGCGTACGTGCGTGAGCGTGCGTGTGTCCATGCGAGGAACTCACCCACGGGAATGGTGCGCCCTTGGATCTTGTCGCACCAGCCGGCGAAATAGCGCAGCGTCTTAACGGCCCCGGTCACGTCCACGAAGAACGCCGGCAGGAAGGGCTTCCCCGAGTCCATCGACTCCAGCGTCTGTCAACCAGGAGAAGCGGCAGGGACATACAGGGGTTGGGGGGTGAAGGAGGGGGGGGGGTGAAGTAAAGGGGAGACGAGAGGGTTAGGGAGAGATTGGAGCGTTAGGAGAGATACATGGGGCTTAAATCTGAGTTCACGGTTGAACAACAATTTGTCCATTTCGCGAAACATACATTTGTGCAAGTTAAATATTGTTTTGAGATTTGAGTCAGGTCTGCCCAGCAGACCGCATCCAATATACCTGTGTGGCCACTTCTAGTCACGTGCCTATGCCACTCTACCAGAGATGTGGAATATAAACATCCTCACAAACTGTTTTCAAAATCTAATCATCCAAAATAATGTCATATCTCGACCCAATGTGTGTATGTGTGTGCATGGCTGGGTGAGCGAGTGGGTGCGTGCCTGGATGAGCGAGTGGGTGCGTGGCTGGGCGCATGGGTGAGTGAGCGAGGGGATGCGTGGCTATCGGGTGCCGGTGGAGGAGGTAGGGAGGGAGGCGTCTCACGGCAAGCGTGGTGCGCTCCCGCTCCACCAGGTCGGCGAGACGCGACAGCAGCACCCCGCGGTCCGACGCGTCCATGCGCCTCCACGGGGAGCCCAGCACAAACGCCTCCCGTGCCGCCACCACCGCGACGTTCACGTCCTCCTGCAACGGCAAGCGGGGAAAATAAACACAAACACGAACAAAAACTCAGAAAAACAATAAAAAAACAAAGGCCCTCCTTAAGCCTTTGCCAATTGTCAGGGTAAGCATAGTTGTATACATATATATGCTTAAAATTGTTTCGTCTGAATGGGTGTCCACAAGGAGCGATTAAGCCTCGGGTCATTTGTAGAAGTTCCATATTGCCAATTAATTGTCTCGACGAGTCTCAAAATTTATTTTCAGGAAGGACTGGACAATGGTCCGATGAGCATGGGGTTTTTTATTGTTAAATCTCCACGTGATCCACCAACCCTCACATCCCTCCCGAGAGCCGCCTCGCGGTAAGCAGACTCACGTGGTCTCCCTCCTGCACATCGCAGAGCTTCTCTCCGCTCGCGGGGTCGAAGGTCGGGAAGGTCCTGCCGCTGATGGAGTCGCGCCACTCGTTTCCGATGAAGATCTGCCGAGTGCGACGTAAGAACACGGTACCATTCACATCATCATCGTCGGCGGTGGCCATCGTCTCTCCACTGCTGGATGAAAGCCTCCCCCCCCCCCCAAGCCCTCGCCATCTCTCATGGTCACGCGATGCTACAATGCATCTAGTTCCTGCGTACGAGCCGATTTCGTCGCTTCATCTCAGTCGCGTGTGTCCTCTTGCACATATTCCCTTTCCTGCGCAATTCATACATTCCCCCATCCAAACATACCATACATAAAGCCGTGATACACACCTATTAATGAAGAAATGTAAGCACTATACAATGTATGTTGTTTATATACGTATATGTAACGTTATTAAGTGCTCATTGAGACAACAAATGACTAGGTGATGCTGCGTCGGCAGTGGTGCACAAGCAATATTCGCAAATTGTTTTTAACACTTTTGTCAATGAGACCGTGTGTGGCATTAAAATGATAAAATATATAACAGGTGACGTTTCGCGTGAGAGCCCGTCTTCATAGCACATTATAGAGAGACCAGAGAGATACGAGTTGGAGACTGGACATAGAGCCTGATGATAATTTATACAAAAAATCTGATGCCCTGCTTTTAAATTGGTATAGAAAATAACACTGAGACAACGACACTCCGGTGAGAGAAACCTGGAAGAGATGCTGATTTAAAAATATCAACATAACGCCGAGACTTTGTCGTTGCCAAGACCTAAAAACTGAACCTTTGCCGGTTTAAACCGTTCATTATGGTGACATCACACTTTTTGCGGGGTGGAATTGACAACTTGACAAATTTTGATTTAAAGCTTTCGTGACTGCAGTAATTCATAATCTTAGTTTTTTCGGTAAAGTCACACAATGATGACCGTTTGAGTTATGGTCGAAACGTCGTGAGAATTTTTTATTGTTTTATATATATTTTGTTATTTTGTTGTTTTCTCTTCAACGTGACTTTACCGAAAAAACTAAGAATATGAACTTGACAAATGTTTACGAGAGTTTCGCATGCCTTGTGCGAGTGGGAGGTCTTCTTCTTCTTCTTTTTCTTCTTTGTCTTCTTCTGCTTCTTCTTCTGCTTCTTCTTCTTTGTCTTCTTGTGCTTCTTCTTCTTCTGCTTCTTCTTCTTCTTCCTCTTCTTCTTCTGCTTCTTCTTCTGTTTTACAAAGTATTTAAGAAATGGGGCCCATGGCACCTGTGGGGGCTGGCGCAGGGAGGAGCCTGAACGCCACTTAGGAATGACAAATCCGCCGCTTACGCCGGATTAGCGGGATTTAGGATGGGGGCCCCGGAGGTTTCGGCGGCTTTTGTTTAAGCAACAAAAAAAAACTTCCCTCTGGCGAATGAACCTCAGCTGGAGGCACTGGTAAAGGTTGCCACCTCTGAGATGCAAGAAACCCAGGACATGTAGTGAGAAGAAGGATATCGAGGGGAGAAAAAAATAAACCATTTTTATTTTACCAGTTAAGGCCCATTATTGCACAGCTGAACAACAAGAACAACAATTTAACTTTTAACGATTAATCTTCTGAGAAGACTGACAGCTTTTCCAGGACAGCTGCCTCAAAAAGTGAATGATCCTAGCAAAAACCATGACAGGTGGCCACCCAAGTTATTTGCAGCACTTGGACCTACATTGGACAATCTCTCATTGCTGTGGGTCCCCTTGTGCTCCGGCTGTGTTCCTACTCGCTGCTCACACAGCATCAACATCGGACCTGCATAGCGCGTCTCAGTGCTGGAAACACAACAGTTATTGACGCGACACGACACGCCTTCATGTTGTACCGGGGGGATCTTGCGCGTGCAGATTTACTCTGATCACAGAGGGCATTTCTGCCATTGATAAGAACATTCCAGACTGCCAAGGCGGTATCCGCAGTCGAGTGGACAAGCAGTTGCGTAAATCGATCCCCGGATTCCCACCGTTCGTGGCTCTCACCACGACAGCTCGCGAGAGCCGCGACCGGGACGATCACGGCTGGCGGCACTCGGGGCGTGAAAGTGACGCCCAGGACGCCGACACAAAACGCTCGCCGCAAGTCTGTCCGCACGTCGCCGGCCCAACTCCGGCGGCCAGGCCAACTCGGCGCGGCTCTCGCTCGCGTGCGCACGTGGGACACGCAGAGGGCTTTGCGTTTCTCGCCGAATGTTTTCCTTGTTGGGCCTGGCGCGTCTCGCCAAAACGTTTTGTCGGCGCAGTCCGATAGCCGTCAATCGAGCTTCCGTGGTGCTGTGGGTCGAGCGTGTATTCATAGGACACGCGACGCAATTTGGGTTTGCGTAGCGGCTAACAACAAAAAGTAACCGCACCTCAAGACGCTCTGTACAGAAACGGTGAGAGTATTGATTGTACAAGAGAGTCAGAGGCCATCGGTCATGGGCACAATATAAAGAGTCCCCAGGTTGGACTTAAATAGGGAAAACTTGAGGTAGAGAGGTGCAAGATGGGAGGGAATGGAAGGGCAGCGAGCACAGGGCTTAATTTCTCACTGGATATGTTTCCGGCTTGTTGGTAGCCTGGAGGATGGGTGGCACGTGACGAAGTCGTGTTAGATATACTGGATGTGCTGTGCCGGGTGCTATAGATTTTCCAGGATGCCGACCCGAAGAGACCCGGCTGAAACTAAGGGCCTTGGGTGCACCTCAAGTCGGTCGACCGCTTGCAGGAGCAGAACCCCCCCCCCCCCCCAAAAAAAAAAACAACCCAATAACAACAAAAACAAAACAGGCGAGCGGAACAGCCGAGGCAGGTTGCGAGTTTTGTTTTTGGACGCCTGGCCTGGCGTCAGCGAGGCGTGAAGAGGCCCCCCCTCGCCTCCCTTTGACACCGCAGAGGGACAGCCAATGGGTGGCGCTCGGCATCACCGGCTACGGGGGTGCAGTGGGGGGTGGAAGCGACGCGGGAGGAGGACGAGGAGGAGGAGGAGGCGTCTATTCAATGAATCCTCCGCCGCAGCACGGCTTGCCGACCCCCCCCCCCCCCCCTCTTGCTCGTCGGACTAAATAAATAAAATCCCACGCGTGTACGCGCGCACGGACAGGCACCTGCGATGTTCCCCTCGGGTTTTCCGTTTGACTTTTGATTTTGATCTTCCTTCTCATCCTCCTCCCCTCTCGTGGCAGGCAGATTTTTTTTCTAATTACAGTTTAGGTGTTAAAGTGACACGATGTGTATTTTTCTAATTAAGGATTCTCGCTCTCTCGCTCTCTCTCATGTGCAGTAATTTTCGGCCCTCCGTTCAAAAACAGCAACAACAGAAACAAGAAAAGTGTCGAAACTCGATTATTTTTTTCGCACGGCTTAAATTGTCCTCCCCCCCCCAAAAAAAAACCAAGAACAACAACAACAACGTTGACAAGAAAACCAACAACAGCAACAGCACCGCGTCTCTGACACGAGCTCTCAAAGTCCACACACTCCGTCCACATCGATCGGCTACGGAGAGAGAGCACGGCCGCACGGGTTTGGATGATTGCCAGGCTCATGAACGTTTGTGCGTCGCTCAACACAAAGCGCAATGAATAAATGAATAAATGTGCCTCTTGTTGTGTTCACGTTAAAACACGATAAATTAGGGGTGCTTTTTTTTGGTTAATATTTGGTCGAGGGGAATTTCACCGCTTTGAACCGAATATCTTTTCGTGAACGTAAATTAAACGTTTTAATAAACGCCGTGGATACTTTGCGTGGGCGGCGAAATTTATTTTGGCTGTTTGAAAGAAAAAAAAAAGTCCGCGTCCGACGGAAGAACCAAAGATGCACGCGCGACCAACACGGATAACCCAGACGCAGGAGCGAATGCTCAACGTGGGAATGTCCCCAGCAGGTCAAACGTGCCCTCGGCATTTTTAAACCGATGTCGTCGACAGCTCCCGCTGTAGTACCCCCCCCCCACTCCTTAGTAAAGTAGCGCGCAGCGAGGTCGGGTATCAAAGTTGGTTGCGTACGGTGTGAAATAAGTTCTACGTATAGAAATAGCACGGTTGGTTACGTACGGTGCGAAAGAAGTTCACCGTGCGCACACACGCATAGCACGGTTGGCTACGTCCGGTATGAAATAAGTTCTACGTATAGAAATAGCACGCTTGGCTACATACGGTGCGAAAGAAGTTCTACGTACGCGAGAGTGTTTGTCCTGGTAAAACCACGTCAATGCGTAAGATTAAAATTCACACAAAGTGCCTTGAAGGCACGTCTGAATGTCCGGACGCACGCGTTGAGGAAGGAAGGGACAAACAACAATTTGATGGAATTAGAAGGGGGCCATGGACGAAAATGCCGGTGGGAGGGCAGAAGGAACAGAGGGCGATGGAGGGGAGATCGAGGGTGGCGAGCTGTAAGGACAAGTCGGTGAAAAGACATTTGGTGAAAATGGATTTGACCAGAGAAGAGAAGCACATATGGGGAAAAACGATTAAAGCAGCCAACTTTATGCGATGTAAGTTTAACTTCGTTCGCACCGTACGTAGCCAACCATGCTATGTATGTTGAACTTATTTCGCACCGTACGTAACCCACCGTGCTATGCATCTATGTAGAACTTATTTCGCACCTTATGTAGCCAACCGTGCGAATCGGAGGTGCGGAGGCTAAATCGGAGGTGACAATGGGCCCTCTCTGGCTTAGAGGAGGAAGAATACCGTTGTGCAGACGTTCCCATTATTAGCGGCAGCGTGGAAGCATACCATTGCTGGGAATACGCACGCGTTTCTGGAGGCGTTCTTCGTCGTCCGACTTCTGGAGGAAACGCGCCAACGTCTCTATCTCTCTCTCTTCCATCGCCAGCAGTGGGGAGAGTCGCCTAGCCAATGGGTTTCGGGGTTGTTGTTTTTGTTGTTGGTCAGTATGCGAATGTGGCCATAACATTCTTAAATCCCTAATTTGTCCCTGCGTGCTCTCTCGCTTCCACAACATCGTTTTCTACGCCCCCGCAAACAGCTCGGACTTCATTACGTTCCGCAAAGTGTCGGTGGGCGTCGAGTGGGATAATGAGGCCCGTG